ATTTGACTTGTGGTCTTTGCCCAAGATCCTGGTGGTTCATCTCAAACGCTTCTCCTATAACAGATACTGGCGGGATAAGCTTGACACAGTTGTGGAGTTCCCAGTCAGGTGGGTGTGGGCACCTGCAGTGTTGTCCGTGTGCCAGTCAGGTGAGAGGGTGCTTGGGGCTCGGGTTAGGTTGTGTGTTACTTGGCTCTGCGAGGTTGACTTGTGGAGCCATCTTCCTCCCACCCCCGCACTAGTGGGAACCATCCCTGATAGAACAGCCCTGCCGATTGTCTGTGTCACTGCTGGTCCTCCCCTTGAGTCCTCCCACCAGCCTATGGTCTGCTTTGCTGGCCCGTCATTGGTGTTAGGGACCTGGTCTCAGCCAGGCCAGCACAAGCTCAGTGCTGCTTCTCATGAACAGGAACATGGCTGTCAGAGCTGCCTACCCAACGGAACTGATCTTTAGATGGGTGTGGTTGTGTGTGCTTGCAACCCTTGGCTGAGGCGGGAAGATAAGTGATTACAAGTTCAAATCCACCCTGGTAATTTAAAACTCTTTTTCCTTTTTTTTTTTTTCCCCAAAGTTTTTCAGGGATTCTCTGTGTGGTCATGGCTGTTCTGAAACTCGCTCTGTAAACCAGGCTAGCCTCGAACTCTCAGAGAAATCCCTGCCTCTGCCTCCTGTGTGCTGGAATTAAAGCATGTACCACCATGCCTTACTTTCTTTTACCTTTTCTGCATTTTTGAACATTTCCGTGTGAGCCAGTGAGACAGCTCAGCGAGTAAGTAACAGCACCGGCCACACAGGCCTGAGTCTGATCCCCAGATTCCATGGTCGAAAGAGAGAACCTCCTAAGAGCTGTCCTCAGATAACTGTGATGTGGTGTTAACGGCTGCACTCAGTTCCTCACTCAGACACACATACACAACAATAATAACAAAGAAAATTCCAAACTAGGAAAGCCTCCCAGGGGTTGCACCTCTGTTAATAGCAGCCTCCCGACTCAGGGGCTGAAGCCCTCTTTGACGTCTTCTTGCCGCTGTTGGAACCCACACAGTATGGTAGCGCCACAACTTGGACCTCTCCCGGTTTCTAAGCCCTGGTCTGTCTCTCCTCACATAGTTGAGTGTTTTCCTGTACTTTGGTCTGTTGATGAATGGGGTTGCTGGGCTACAGAGTTTAACTTACTTGTGTGGTATTATATTTTTTACTCAGATCTCTGAACATGTCCGAGTTTGTCTGTGACCGGTCAGCAAGACCTTATGTTTATGACCTAATTGCTGTGTCCAATCACTATGGAGCCATGGGGGTTGGTCACTGTAAGTATTGGCATCTGCTTACTTGAGATGTGTGGAAATGCCCTGCCTGGTGTTCTCTCAGCCTCTTCCTGGATGCCTGGCACTGCCATTAGCCCCTGGCTTGTTTATAGTTCCTGGCTATAGGCTTTCTCAATTCCTTGCCCTTTCTAACCCCCTTCCTTTCTCCTTTCTAACTTTTCATATTCTTTAATTCGGTACTGTTAACGTGGTGAGTTGTCCCACTGATAATCCCATGCTGGGCTGGAGCTCATCGTGTCATCAGTCAGGGTAGCCTAGGGCTCTAGGCAGTCTCTCAAGTAGGGGCCATGCTGGGTTTATCTCTGGGGTTCTCTCTTAAGACAATGACATGATAAAACTTTATGCACAAAAACGTTTGCCTCTATGTTTGTTTTGATTTTTCAAGCTAGGGTTTCTCTGTGTTGCCCTGGCTGTCCTGGAACTAGCTCTGTGGACAGATGGGCCTTGAACTCAGAAATCTGCCTACCTCTTCTGCCTCCCAAGTGTTGGGATTAAAGATGTGCGCCACTACACCTGGCTCATTCCCATCTCTGTATTAGCAAACATGCTTGAGAGCACAGCTGATACTGCTGTCCAGGGCCTTGATCAGAGAGTTCTCGGCCACTTCAGAATAATCGAAAACAGCTCTGTAAAATTAGTATCTTTAGAAGCAGCATCCCAGCTCTGCAAAAGCGGAGAAAATACAAGGGGTACAGAGACCTAGAGTGAGAAATGCCAAAATTAGTTTATTTTTGGCATAGTTTGGTTTGATTTTGAGACAGAATCTCGTCTTGCATCCCAGGCTGGCTTGTAACTTGCCAGGTAATCCTTAATGGCCTTGAACTGCAGTTCTTTCCACCTACTGTTTACATGCTGAGATGATAGGTATACATGACTTTACCCAGCAAAAAAGTGATTTCTTTCTTTTGACCTATTTCCCAGAATTTCTGGTTCACTTTATGGAAACTTTTTTTGTGTTGTTGTTGTTGTTGCTGTTGAGACAAGACCTTACTATGAAGCTCTGACTGTCAGAATGCTTACACTCACCCTCCTGCCTAGCCTTCCAACTGTTTTAGCTATCTATATATTACCAGTTTTGAGGGGGGCATTACTTTTCCCCCAGTGCTGGGGATGGAATTTGGAGCCTTGTGCAATCTAGATTAGTCCAGCTACTGAGCTGCAGCTCCAGACTGCCCACCACAGATACTGTCGCAGCTGTGGAGAAAAGAAATGGAAAGCTTCTTGTTCCCTTCTCAGCTCTGCAAACCCAGTGGTCACTGTTTTCCAACCAGAATTCCTCTACTGGCTCCAGAGGCACTAAGAACATTCTGCTGAAGACGAAGCCATCTGCTCTTGTTGTCTTAAATCTTAGAAGTATCAGTGCCATCGCCAAGTCCCTCTGTGGCTCTGGATTGCACTCATGCCCATGTTGTTTGTTGGGGGCACTGATGGAAATCCTAGGCTATTCCAGGACAGGCACCAAAGCTACAGAGAAACCCTGTCTTGAAAAGAAAAAAAAAAAAAAAAGGAAATCCTAGGCTAGTGCTGTGACTACACCATGTCTAGCACTGATCATAGCCATTGAATAGACCCCGGGCAGCTGGAGAGATGGCTCAGTAGCGGAGAGCACTGTTCTTCCAGGACCTGAGTCTAGTTCCCAGCACATGTCGGCTGACTCCCAGCACCACCTTATCACCTCTGTGGGTATTTGCACGCCTGTGCTCATAACCACCCCCTCCATGTAATTAAATGATAGATCTTTATTAAAAAATAAAAGTTGGGTGTGGTGGTACATATCTTTAATCCCAGTACTCTGGAGACAGAGACAGGTGAATCTCTGAGTTCAAGGGCACCCTGATCTACTAGTGAGTTCCTGGACAGCCAGGGCTACACAGAGAAACAAACAAACTTATTGTTACTTATATGTATGTGCATATTAGTTATATAATTTTGTGGTGGTGGTGTTTTCTATTTGAGACCTATTCAACCCTCCCTAGATTTGGCTGGGTTGGCCTTGTACTTGGGGTAAGTACTCTTGTCCCTGCCTCCTGAGCGGATTCACACTGGCTATACACTATTCTTAATGTCAGTGTCAATGTTTTTGGGTGTGAACCTGTGTTTGTATTCCATCCTAGCCCTAATGAAATAACCAGATTCATTTTCCTGGTGGCCATTAGAGCGTTTTATTTGTAACTTGCAGACACCGCGTATGCGAAGAACAGACTGAATGGGAAGTGGTATTACTTTGATGACAGCAATGTGTCCCTGGCTTCTGAGGATCAGATAGTGGTGAGTACCTGGCCCAGATACCCACTTTTCTCCGGTTATCTTAACAAATAAGCCAAAAAGGTCCTCTTAGGCCATTGGTTACTTCATTATCTGGAGAGGCCCTGGGTGGAGTAGAGTGGACTGCCATTCATTCTAGATCTTTCCTAATGGAAAAGCTCAGTTTTCCTTGAGGTACTAGATCATAGTAATCCTGCATTTCCCCACAGCCATGGCCAGGACGCCAGGAGGCAGCCAGTAAAGGGCCTTTCTGGGTGCTCTTAGGTGTGGCAATGCAAACAAGGTGGCAGACTCCTGACCACTTGTTCACTCACCCCTCCTTCAGGGTGTTTGTTTATTGAGGTGTGGCTTTCTACACATCCCTAATCTAAACTCACTTTGTGTGTCAGGCTAGCCTAAAACTTACGGTAATTCTCCTGCCTCTGCTTTCTGAGTACTGGGATTACAGGTGTGTGTAACCACATCCAGTTTCAGATTGATTTTTTTTGAGAAAGGGTTTTACTCTGAAACCTAGGCTGGCAAAAACAAAAACAAAAACCTTCTTTCCCAGGCTCTTTTCCCCTCGCTGGGATTATAGGCAGGAGCTACCATGAGTTTAGTATAGAATGGTGAGGAAAGGGTGGGGACAGGTGCGTGTGTTCCCAGTAAATGGACTCTCTCCCTCCCTTGTATTTTAGACTAAAGCTGCCTACGTGCTATTCTACCAGCGTCGTGATGACGAATGTCACAGCGCGCCCTCGCTCACCGCTTTCCCAGCCTCTTCTGGTGGAGCCATGAGGCTGGGCAGCTCGCAGCAGGGCCTGGGAGATGATGAGGCTTCCAACATGGACACCAACTGATGCTGACTCAGCGGCCCTGCCACCTCCCCCACCCCACGGCAGTGTCCTTCCCCAGGAGAATGCCTTTGACACTCTTGAAGACTGCTCATGTCAATCTTAAAACCAGATGAGGAAATTTCCTTCTTTTATGAGAAGAGAAAAGAAAAAAAACCCTGTTCTCTCAGAAGGGTTATGTTAAGAGGCTGAATTATTTTTTCTTTTAAATGGGTGTTGAGATAAACCTGTGGAGCTGAAGTGTGGGGTGGGATTTGGTACACAGTGAAGCTTGTCTCATGGATTCCAAAGAATGGAGAGGAACACCCTGTAGTTGAGTATGGTGCAGCCATGAAGACCCATGCAGGGCTGCTCTGAACTCCTGTGTTTTGGGTTCTGGTGCCCATACTGGTCACCCTGGCCACAGTAAACCAAGCCTCTAGCAAACTTGATGCTGTCCTCGAGTCCTTTGCTATTCACTGAGATGGGTTTATAGTTTTCTGAACATTAGCAGCAGTAAATTATTACTGGAGCCCATTTCTAGTCTCTGTTCTCTCAGAATTTCCCAGCTCTTGGGGGTCTTCTTGTTTTCAGTTTCTGTGGAACCTTCAAGTTCTGTTTTAACACCACTGTCCTTGATAAAAGCTGATTCTATGTGGAACTTTAACACTCTCTTAAAATAAGTCCATTCATAAAACTGGGTGCAGTGTGTGGCATTGTTTCTCCATGTTGGCTTCAGAGAAACACTATGGGTGTTTGCCAGGTCTTCAAAACACTTAAGTTAAATGTGGTTTAAGAAAATACTGTTTCCAGCAGGGCAACCTAGACCGTGCCTTTAAGCCCAGACCTGGGAGGCAGAGGCAGGTGAATCTGAGTTAAAGGCCAGCCTGCTCCACGGAGCAAATTCCTGGACAGCCAGGGCTAAGCAGAGAAACCATCTTGGAAACAACCCCGCGCCACCCTGCTCCCCCACCTCCCACCCCCCGGAAAAAAAAAAGTTTTCAGTAACAGATATCTCCGGACTGGATTGTTTCCCTTATCCCGATGGCGCTACACCTTACTCTTCACCTGCTAATAGGTCACTTCTCGAGGCCTTTGTTGCCCCTTGTGGTCATGTGAGTTTTGACCGACCTTTAACCTAGTACGTGGGGGGTTGGGAGTCGCGTCTTGGCACGTGAGCGCAGTGTCCGTTGGGCACTCTTGTGCGGCCACGGCTGGGTGAGGACGCAGTAGGGGCCCCTTCCGGCCTAGATTGGCTATAGTTTGGGGACCCAGACAACTGGGTCGCAGTGGGGGGCGGCGGTGGGAAAGGCCCAGCGGCAACCAGCTAAGGAAGCTCTTGGGGGTTAAGCGGGGTATATCAGGCCTTTCCCTGCGATCTGGGGTTCTGAGAGTTGTGGGCAATAATCCCCTCTCAGAGGAAAAGAAGGATGATGTGGTGTAAGCGTAAATCAAACTTGAAATCCGGGTAGAATCTCAGCCTCTTGTGTAGCATCATTATCGCGTTGCTCTGTGCATTTCCGATTATTAAATAATAAAAGGCATGGTCGCTTTTAGGGAAATGTCTGAGAAACTACGAAGATGCAGAAAGGAGCTGACTGCAGCCATAGACCGAGCCTTTGAAGGAGTCAGGCATTCCCAGGAGTGCACAGGCCCTCAGAGGCTGGACGCCCCATCGCTCGCCTCTCTGCCCGTGCACAGGCTGTTCTGCCGAAACCCACTGGCAGCTTGCCCCTCTGCTGCCCCCTGCGCTGGTGCCTCATGTGCTCCTGAGAATGAGAACCCTGTCTTTGCACCACACCATGTCCCAGTTAATGCAAAGCCCCTTCCTTTATACCCTAAAAGAAAACCTCTGACCAGCAAGGAAAATGTCTTGATGCATTCTTCCATTTTGGCACGTGAAAAACAGTTTTGGAGAGCTGCAGGAGATGGGGAAAACTGGAGAAAAGAAAGTTTAAGGTGATTTTAATTTGATTGCTTAATAGCATCAATTAGGGAGAATTGTTTCTTAAAAAAAAAAAGGGTCTGATTTGTTATTAAGCTAGCCTTCTCTTGGGAATGCCAAGAATGTACAGGAAATTGATAGACAGTTTTTAGAATCTGACCCCAACAGTTACGTTTTGTTGTATATATTTGGGCTGAAAACTCTAGCTATCCAGGCATGGAAACTATGGTACCCAGAGGGCAATCAGTGTTAAGTAATTATTTTTAAATGTATGGGTGGTTGTTGAGGATTGAATCAGAGGTCTCATACATGCTAAGGCAAACATTCTACCGCTTATCAACAAGCCTTAGCAATGCTCCTCTTATTCTAGGAGGGTTTTGCCTGCAGAGGCCGGAGGCTGTGGCACTGCCTCCCCAGCAGCTAGAGGGACTGACAGCTGGGAGCTGCCATGTAGGTGCTGTGCAACTGGAAGAGCAGCCAGTTTCTCATTTTATATTTTTATTAGTATGTATATGTGTGTGTGGATGGAGTGTAGACATTAGCATGCCTCTGGAAATCAAAGGGAAACCTTCAGGAGTTGATTCCTCTGTGGGTTCAGGGATCCAACTCAAGTTGTCACGCTTGCATTTGCATTGCTGTGTCATTCTGCCAGCCTGTTTTTGCTTTTTTTTTTTTTAACTCTAATGTAGACCATATGGCTTTAAGCTCCTGTTTAGCTGAGGGTAACTTTTTTTTTAATATTTATTTATTTATTTATTATGTATACAATGTTCTATCTGTGTGTATGCCTGCAGGCCAAAAGAGGGCACCAGACCTCATTACAGATGGATGTGAGCCACCGTGTGGTTGCTGGGAATTGAACTCAGGACCTTTGGAAGAGCAGGCAATGCTCTTAACCCCTGCCCCTGAGGGTAACTTTGAACTCGGGTCTCTGAGTCTTAAGTCCAAGTGCAGGAATTATAGACATGCGCTACCAGTCCTGAGTGATCTGATTTAAATACAAACACTCTAAGCTGCAAAAACAAATATACCACATACCATCTTCATGTTCGTAGCCAGGGCAGTGGCCTTTACCTTCCTTTGCCCACACTTAGATCCATGACGAGGTCCTACTTCCTGGCTTTATCTGTGTCTGTGTTTCAGCCAGGCTGTGGTGGAGTACACCTTTAATCTCAACAAGCAGGTATCTGAGTTCAAGGCCACCATGGTCTACAGAGCAAGTTCCAGGGTAACCTGGACTGCACAGAGGAACCCTGTCTCAAAAACTAAACCGAACCAAACCAAAAATACCTTTTGATTGTCTCCTTTACAGCCACTAAGTAGCTACAAACTGTCCCATTCTCGGGTGGATGACTGTGTGTGATCTGACTTAGATGTCTGGCCATCTCGCCTAACCCAAAGTCAAGTAATTGAGAATTCATTTAACTGAAATATGCGTGCTGGCTTCATGAGCATCAGTACACCTGTAGTGGGATCATCGTTATGATGGTGCTATTGTTTCTTCACTGATTTAGTTATCAGTTTCTGGTTATTCTCGTAGCATAAAAGGTAGTCACCAGTAAATGTTAGTCTTAGCTGGGCATGGTGGCATGTCTTGAATCCCAAGCACTCAAGAGACAGAAGCAGGGGGAATCTCTGAATTTGAGGTCATCCTGGTTGGTTTACACAGGAAGTCCCAGGCCAGCCAGGACAACCTAGTCTGTGTCTTAAAAACAAAACAGGGGATAGAAAGATGGCTCAGATCCTGAGTTCAATTCCCAGTGACCATATGACAGCTCACAACCATCTATAAGATCTGGTGCCCTCTTCTGACATGTAGGCATACATGCAGGAGGAACATTATATATAATAAATCTTAAAAACAAAACAAAATTAGACAAACATCAAAACAGTTGCATTTTAGATTATCTCAAGTTTTTCTTTTTCTTTTTTTTTTTTTTTTCTTTTTGAGACAGGGTTTCTCTGTAGCTTTGGACCCTGTCCTGGAACTAGCTCTGTAGACCAGGCTGGTCTCGAACTCACAGAGATCCGCCTGCCTCTGCCTCCTCTGAGTGCTGGGATTAAAGGCGTGCGCCACCACCGCCCGGCTTATCTGAAGTTTTTCAGTATTTTCCTGAAAAAATATCTAATTCCTCATCTTCTTCCCCCACCCGCACCCATCTGCGCTGCAGGAAGGATGACTCAAATATGCTGCTGAGCAGTTCTAGCCAAGAGGTCACAAAGGACCTGCTGGATATGATTGGTAAGTAGAAAGCTGGGCCACTCCCTGCTCGGTCCCTCACATAGGCCAGGAGGCCACACATCTTGTTTGGAAATTTAGTTTGCCCAAAGCAGACTCAGAGAACCATGAAATCATCAATACTGCCCCTTCAATGAACAAGTAACCTAGTAAGGCCACGGGTCAATAAGATCATTACCTAAGTGTCTTATAATCTGGGCAGCCTTCAGACCTTAGTACAGAGATGAAGGAAATGGGGTACAGGCCCAAGAAGGAAGAAGGTGGGAAATGCAGTGCTGGAGTGAGGTGACACCGGCCTTTAATTGCGGCACTTGGAAGGCAGAGGCATGCAGACATGGATGAATTTGAGGCCAACCTAGGCTGCAGAGTGAGACACTGTCACAAAGAATAAGATCTGTCTCCCTAGAAATAGCCACTTAGCATAGTACTATATGTCTTATTAGACAGTTTACCTTTATCAAACACTTTTATTATTTTTAATTATGTATATGTCTGTGTGTATCTTGAGTGTGGGTGACCTCAGAGGCCAAAGGCGTTGCCTCCCTCTGGGGCTAGAATTACAGGAGGCTATGAGCCACCAGGCATGGATGCCTGTAACTAAGTCTGGGCCCTTTGCAAAAGCAGTTAAATGCTCTTAACTGCTGAGGCATCTCTCAAGCTCCATTTTTTTTTCTTTTTTTCTTTGTTTTTGTTTTGTTTTTAGAAGAAAGGGTTTCTCTGTGTAGCTTTGGATCCTGTCCTGGAACTTGCTCTGTAAACCAGGCTGGCCTCGGACTCACAGTGATCTGCCTGCCTCTGCCTTCCAAGTGCTGGGATTAAAAGTATGCCACCACCACCCAACCCCATTTTTCTTTTAAATTTTTTTTTAAATTTCTTTTTTTATTAATCTAGGCACAGTTTTAAGATTGAGTGTTTGCCTGCAGGTATATTTGGGGACCATATGTGTGTGTGCTTTGTGAATAGAGGCCAGAAGAGGTGTTGGGATTTCCTGGAACTGGAATTCCAGAGTTGTCAGCCTCCACGTAGGTGCCAAGAACTAAATGTGTCTTTCTTCTACAAGAACAGAAAGTCCTCTTAACAACTGAGCCATCTTTTGTAGCCCCTACCCCACCCATCCCATTTTTGTTATTTTTGTTTTGTTTTTGAGACTCCCTTGGGCTACACCAAGCTTTTTCTTTTTCAGACAGACTCTGGCTGGATAGGCCAGGCTGATCTCAAACTTGTAATCCTCCTGCTTGACTCTTGTGAGTACTGGATGATAAGCATGCATCAGCACACCCAGCAATAGACGTTTATCCTACATACATTCTATATCTGTATGTTCTCTGAACTGTGTCCTATTTCTAAATGACTCACTGCAGTGAGCCAGCATCTCCTGGTTAGGGGATACATAGCTGCAGGCATTGCCAGAAACTGTGGACATGGAAGAACCCCCAGGTTAGAATGGACTCAAGGGAGATCTAATGAGGGACGGTGCTTGCATTGGGCCCCAAAACCTTTCTGTAATTTTGGATGACTGACTGTCCTCTGCTGCCCATTGTTCCCTTGGACCTCCCAGTACCTGTCTCCTCCTGACTACCCGCAGACCCTGCTTGTCATACCACCTCATCACCCCCACAGGTCAGCGAGTTCTGAGAGCTGGAACAAGCAGGCATATTCCATTTATACTATGCTTGAGAATGCGCAGATAATCAGGGCTGGTGGCTCACTTGTGTGTGCTGTGACAGGAATGTCTAGTTCTGTATAGCCCCTGAAATGCTTACCCATTTATGGTTTGTGTGTCTATTTGCTTGCTAGCTTGTGGTAGTAAGGTATCAAACTAGACAACGATTCTTTCATGAGTTACATACATTAGTTTTGTGCTTTTTTAACTTAAGTATGAAATGTTCTCAAACTTTTTTTTTTTTCTGAGACAGGGTTTCTCTGTGTAGTCCTGGCTGTCCTGGAACTCACACTGTACATCAGGCTGGTCTAGAACTCACAGAGATCCACCTGCCTCTACCTTCTTGAGTGCTGGGATTAAAAGCGTGTGCCACTACTGCCTGGCCTCATGTTGGGCACCCATATGTAGCATGAGTTCTAATAGGCATTAATAATAAAAATCCGAGTCACATAGACGGAAAAATAAAAGATCAGAGAGACAAAGGAGCAAAACCATGGCCACCTTATCTACTCAACTTCCCAGGCAAAAAGACACCGAGCTCTTGTCTTCACCCACTATATCACTTCCTCTCCCTGCCCAGCCATATCACTTCCTGTCTATCTGTATAGACTCCAGACCTCTGTGGTTAATTAGAGGCTAGCTATGCCCTTTGATCTTTAGGCAAGCTTTATTTGTGCAAACAAGATATCACCACAACAGGGTATCTTTGTGTAATAGCGCTAGCTGTCCTGGAACTCATTCTGTAGACCAGGCTAGCCTAGAACTCACAGAGATCCACCTGTCTCTGCCTCCTGAATGCTGGGATCAAAGGTGTGTGCCACCACTGCCTGGCTGTTCTCAGAAACTTCTAAATTGAACTATAAAGCTGAATGTCATTTTGTTATTGTTTTAAGACCATACGAGTATCCGAACTATTGAAGAACTGGCTGGAAAACTAGAATTTGAAAATGAATTGAACCGTGTGTGTGGACGCTGCCAAGATTCACCCCTTAAGGAGGAGGCCTGGGCCCTGCTTGTGGACGAGAGCCCTCGGAAGTCTTTGGATGCTGACCCTGGGAGCCTCAAGCAGGCTTTTGATGACCAGAATATTGTTGAGACCGTTCTGGACTTGGAGGAGGATTACAATTTGATGACCTCTTTTAAATACCAAATAGAGTAAGGTTAGCAGCAGCAAGTCCTGACTCTTGACAAGGGGTTGGCAGAGTCTGAATCACCACATACTGTAACTCCTGCTGAATCCCATTGTGACCTGAGTCTAGGCTTTAATATTCTGTTATTTTGAAATGTTTGGAGTTTTTTTTGACTTGACATTTTTTAAAGTGTGTTTTTGATTGGTGTTCAATATATACAATGCCTTTGGTAGGTTGTGCCTTTGCTCTTTCTCCAGATTCCTGGAAAAGATGGGTACTGTAACCAGGATGGATTTGCCACCTGGGACTAGCCCACCACAGGTAAACTCGATTCAGAAGAGCCAGGCTCACACTCGAGTTTGGCTTGGGCTCTCTGCTCCCCTCACACACTTTGCACACAGGAACCCTGTTTCCTGCATACACGCTTTCTTCAGGTCTTGGTTTACCACCCTTATTTTCCTATCCCTATCCCCAGAGTGCTGCCTCTGCGTGGATCTACTTGAGTCAGCGTCTGGCAGGATTCCAGACTGTCTTCTTTAGGACCTATGTATCCTCCACAGACACATGGACCCCAGCTGAGGGGGGCAGGAAGGGGACAGTCAGCACAGGTTCACACCTGAACCACATCATCCCACCATGAGAAGTTCTACAGCAAAGACCATGCTGAGCCAAGACAGAGAAGGCCAGAAGGCGGCCAGGAAGACAGGCCAGGGTACTGCACATTGTCCTCCTGAGGTCAGCAGAGCAAAAAGAAAGGAAGGAAGAAGCACAGTAGCAAGCACGATGACTCAGTGTATCGTTCCACTATTTTAACAGCTACTTTAGTCTTGGCATTTGGCTCAGTGGTACTCGACTGGTGTAGCAATAGAGGCAACATGTCACTCCTCAGTGGCATTCGTACGGTCACCTTGTCAAATACCCCGAGATGAGTGTTCACTGGTTTCCACCAAGGATGGCCACTGGCATTGCCTGCCTGAGGCAAGAGAAAAGGACATCTAGTCAGTGGCTCTTCTTGACTAACTGCCATTTAATCTCTGCAGGAGGGAGAAATTCAGTAAACACAGCCTGACTTGGAATGTTCATAGCATCCTTGGCTGCCTCTACTCAGGTTGTTCTAGAGAGGTCAGCCTATTTGAGATTCATGTTCATAAAATATTTCTCAAGCAAGCATATTGCTTAACTGTATGTGAAGTGGACTTTGTTTTTATTTTGAGAGAGAAGGTGTATATCCCTGGCTGTCGTAGAACTCGCTTCTAACTCACAATGATGAGCCTGCCTCTGTCTCACAAGGTGTGCACCAGCAAACCCCACAGATGCAGAGGTGGAACTTAATTTTTGCCTTTTTCTCTTACCCATCATCACCCTTAAAAATGAGCTAGACTTGGTTACTCTTTTTATTTTAGACTTTTTTTTTTTCTGTGTTGCCCTGGCTGTCCTGGAACTTGCTCTGAAGACCAGGCTGGCCTCAAACTCACAGAGATCCACCTGCCTCTGTCTCCCAAGTGCTGGGATTAAAGGCGTGTGCCACCACCACTGTCCAGCTAGACTTGGTTACTCTTATTCAAAGACTAAAGGAAAGAAAAACTGCAGAACTGACAAATCCCGAGACTTATCAAATGCCATGTAGAGGTTAGACGACAGGTGTGGTGCATGCAGTATTCACAGAACTTGGGAGGCTAAGGCAGGAGAAGGCCAGTTCAGAGGCCAGCTGGTTCATGTAGTTAGGCCCTTTCTTAAGAATGAAAAGGAGGGCTGGAGCGATGTCTCAGTGGTTGTGAGTCTTTGACTTGCCCTTTCCAGGGGTGCTACACCTCCAGTTCCAGGGGATCCAACACCCTCTTCTGGTTTCCTCTGGCACTTGAACTCTTGTGACATACACTCACACAGGCATGTATACATATAAAAACCCAAATCTTTCAAATTAAAAATCGTAAGATGTAGATGTGATGGCTAATGCCTGTAATCCCAGCACTTGGGAGACGAAGCAAGAGGATCAGCAGCTTACAATCATTCTTGACAACACCACAGTGCAGTGCTTCTCAACCTGTGGGTCTGACGACCCTTGTACAGGCTCACCTAAGACCATCAGAAAACACAGATATATACATTATGATTTATAACAGTAGCAAAATTACAGTTATGAAGTAGCAACAAAATGGTTTTATAGACAGGAGCAGGTGGAGGAGGGAGGAAGGAAGGAGAGAGGGGCAGGAGGCAGGTAGTCACTTTTCATGAGGGAATGTAGCATGTGCTGGAGCCCTGCAGCAGACAGTGTCAGGACCCCGAGCAGGCCAGAGAACTGCCTGAGTGCATCCTGCCAGGTCCCCAGGACGCAGGCTAGCATACTGCCTGAATGCTAGCAACCACAACAGGGTCACAGCCTTAGGAAAGTTTAGAACCACTAGCATAAAGTGTTCAAGGCAAATCTGATACCTGTGATTACAAAACCCATGGCCTTCAGTCGATAACCTTGAGAAAAATGTCAGACAAACCCAGACAGGTGGATGTTCTAGCATCCCTGGGTAGAACTTCAGGATTATCAAGGCCACAAAAACGATTCAAAACCTCTCCGCAGCAGTACAGAGAAGACACTGTGCCCGAGAAGCACGGGAATCCTGGACTGTGCCTGAGAGTAAGGGACGTTCACACGAGTGAGATCTACGTGAAGGCTGGTGTTTAATGTATTGACACTAGTTTCCTGGCTTTGACAGATCTATCAGTTACATACATGTCAACACTGGGAAAGCAGGGCAGAGTGTACCCATGCTCACTATATTTGAAGTCTTCTGTAAATCTAAAGTTATTCCAGAATATTACATTTAAAAGTGCAATCAACTGCGAGCCAGGTGGTAGTGGCGCACGCCTTTAATCCCAGCACTCGCGGGGCAGAGGCAGGTGGATCTCTGTGAGTTCGAGGCCAGCCTGTTTACTAAGCAAGTTCCAGGACAGTCAGAGCTGTTACACAGAGAAACCCTGTCTTGAAAAAAAATAAGAGCACTGGCTGCTCTTCCAGAGGACCTGAGTTCAGTTCCCAGCAACCACATGGGAACTCACAACCGTCTGTGATAGGATCTGAAAACCTCTTCTGGCCTGCAGGTATATAGAGAGCACTCATGCATAAAATATAATTAAATAAATTAAATTTAAATTTAATGCAATCAACTCAATTGTTTTTTTTTTTAATGTAAAAGCAAAATTTTGTTCAGTCTTGTCTACAGAGTGAGTTCCAGGACAGCCAGGCCTACACAGAGAAACTCTGTCTCAAAATATCAAAAAAAAAATTGTAGGGAAGCATCAACAGAAATTAAATTAAAAAAATTTTTATATAAAAATAAATAAAAAGAATAAAAAATAAAATAATGATACTACCAAAAAATTTATATTTTGCCAGGCAGTGGTGGTTCAGTCCTTTAATCCCAGCACTTGAGGTCAGCCTGGTCTATAAAGCAAGGACCAGGATAGCCAGGGCACAAAGAAATACAGTCTCTAAAAAAACCAAACCAGCCGGGCGGTGGTGGCACACACCTTTAATCCCAGCACTTGGGAGGCAGAGGCAGGAGGATCTATGTGAGTTCGAGACCAGCCTGGTCTACAAGAGCTAGTTCCAGGACAGGCTCCAAAACCACAGAGAAACCCTGTCTCGAAAAAACCAAAAAATAAAAAATAAAAAAACCAAACCAAGCCAAAAAATAAATAAGAAAAAGAAAAAAAGAAACAAAAAAGTCACAATGTGCAGTGTGTGTGTCTACAAATCAACCCCTGAGCCCAGACCTACTAGACAGGCGCTTTTCACTGAGCTTCACCCCCAGTCCTAAGATGTTTTTGTTCTAAACCCCCATCTCTATCCATGAATCATGGGTATTTGTTGCTAGGTGCCTATATGTCACCAGCTGTGACAGTCTGTGAGGACTGAATGGATGGACTCCAGGGTCACACAGGACTCGTGGAGTCTTCAGGATAGAGTTGCCCCAGGTCTCACAGAATAGAGTCCCAGTTGAATTCACTGGTCAATGTGCAGTCTCTGCACGCAGGGCTTTGAAGGGGATGGCAGAACCCTAACTATGGAACACTTCGAAGTGACAGGTTTGTTTTTGTTTATGGTGGCGATTAGCCCTTGGGAATCTGGGTCCAATTCAAGGAGATAGACAAGGCTCCCTCTGGCCAGTCAGGGAGGTACATTTGGCTTTGTTTTAGCCAAAGCTTTATGTGAAAATATCTCAATTGGGGATATTTTCCCTCTGTAGAAACAGATGTTTGGCAATGTAGGCAAGCCCCAGCCTCTGACACCGCTTACTCAGGTGGGCACACAGACCTCCTTCTCACCTATTTACATCCCCTGGCTCACTAATGTGCCCCTAACAGCCCTTCCTGCCTCTGTCATCTGCTCAGAGGGGCAGGAGGAGGAACTGTTTTTCAGGAATTTACTGGAGAGAATATAGGAGGCTAGAACATAGCATTTAGTAAAACTAAAGGTTTTCAGGGTCAAAGGTATTCATGATGTGTGACAGTTGACCCTAGTCATGTCTGAGAAACTTGAAAATGTTTGACGTCGTCATTCAGTTCCCTCCCCCGCAGTTCATCTCGGCACACCAAACAATCACTGAATTGTTTCCGTGGAAACACCAAACTGCAATTTGGATTACCGGAATCAAAATAGAAACAAGGAAAATTCAAGAATAAATAGGAGCAGTGAAACCTGCTAGCTGCAAACTGCAAATCCAAATCCCAGCATAAGGCATGAGAAGCTGGGCCATCCATCCTTACGATTCTCAGGTTCTAAGGCTGCATCCTACCAAGATGCTAAAGTCAAAGCTTTAGAAGTAGACTGGAAGACTCTGAGACAGTCAGGCAAGGGTTGATCTGCAGAGAGTCCTAGAACAAAAGGTTAGAGGGCTGGAGGAAGGCTTAGGAAAGGCCTGCCGCAGAAAGAGGGTTAAACAAACCGCAGGTGGAAGGCAGGCCAGGCAGGGGCAGAGCAGCTGCTGTCAGAGCTTGAAAGTGTGACTGCGGCCTTAGGCCAAATGCATGGCAGTGCCCCCACACTTCCAATCCTGCCTGCCCCCTGACCAAATCAGTACAGAAACCAACCAATCCCTGAGCACGAAATCTAGCCAATCTCTCAGTTTATACAATCTCAGCAATTGAAACCTGACCAGTTCCCACCCTGAAAAGCTCTTGGGAAACTTCTGCCCGTAGGAAGCCCTATGTAAGGTCAGTTCCTTCAGTTTGCTGCTGCTTTCTCCACCCTGGCAGAGGCAGCCACTCTCCTGGGTCCCTCTCTCCCTCCCAATAAATCTCTTGAGTGAGGTTTGGGTGATGACCTTTCACCAGAATAGAGCGGGGCAGAGCAGAACTTCAACTTTGGGAAACTGGGAAAACCCTCTTCTATTGGAGCGGGGCTGTCAACTGCTGCTCTTACAGTGACGTTGTGATATTCCTTGGCTCCGGACTGCCAGGATCCCTTTCTATCTGAGCTGCAATGCTCAGATTCCTCCCAACTCAGGGAACAGGGACAGTGTCCTCCTGTCCTACTTTCCCTAGCTCCTTGGCCTTCTCCTGGGCTTTCCCTTTTCAACCTCAGAGAAGATTCCAGAGGGATCAAGAGAGCAGGAAGGAAACAGGCAGCTTTGAAGGTGGGGTGTCCTTCCATGTTTACACCCAGGAATAAGCTAGTAGGATGCTAAGGCAATCATGACACAGATGAAATTGTAAGTATAGGGTAAAGGGACCAGCCAAAGAAAGTCACCCTGGTTCTGAGACCCGAGCCAGTAAAAGAAACCCACCCTGGTTCTGAACCCTGAGCCAGTGAAAGAAACCCCACCCTGAGTTTGAACCCTGAGCCAGTTATAGAGACCCACCCTGGTTCTGAACCCTGAGCCAGTGAAAGAAACCCACCCTGGTTCTGAACCCTGAGCCAGTGAAAGAAATGCTTTGGCCCCAAACTCAGAACCAAAGAAATATACCTTGACCCTAAAACCAGTGCCAAAGAAACACACTTTGGTTCTAGAATCAGAAAAGTGAAAGAAATATGCCCTGGCCTCAAAACTAGAGCCAAAAAGCTAAAAAAGGCCAGTTGGGCCCAGTGATGGTGCACACCTTTAATCCCAGCACTCAGGAGGCAGAGGCAGGCGGATTGCAGTGTATTTGAGGCCAGCCTGGTCTACAAGAGCTAGTTCCAGGACAGC